AACCTACAAAGCTAACAGAACACCTTACTATCTTGAGGCAAAAGACCTTCTCTAAGACACATTACAATGCTGTCAAAAGACAATGATAAAGAATTGTAAAGGCAGCCAGGGGGAAAAGGTAGTAACCTATAAAAGAACCTCCTTGAGGCTATAAGCAGATTTCTCACAGAAATTCTACAGGACGGGAGAGAGTGGAATGACAAATACTGAAGACAAAAATTGCCAGCCAAGAAAACTCTTCAGATATTAAGGAGAGTAAAGACTTTCTCAGACAAACAAGAGCTCAGGGAGCTCACCACCACCTGTCAAGAAATGTTGAAGGGGGTTCTTCAAACTGAAACAGAAAGACAAAAATACACAAAATTCTGATTAAGGTGATAGTCACCATTAGAAAAGGGTAACATTTTCCCTGAAAAAAAAAAAAAAAATAGAAAAGGGTAACATTTTTAGAACAGTATATCGAACACTTAAATATAGGATGACGGTTAAAGAAAAAAGAGCATTAAAAATCACCAATTCGGTAATGAAATCATGGCATAAAAAGAAATCATTTGTGGTATCAAAAATATACAAGGGGAGGAGTAAAAGGATGGGACTTTGACAGGGAAACTGCTATCAGCAGAAAGGGGACTATGTTATCTATGAGATGTTTGATGTAAACCTCACAGTAACCATAAAGCAAAAATCTAGAGCAGACACGAAACATGAAAAAACGCGCAGACTGAGCAAATCACAATGGAAAACAACCAACTTACAAAAGTAGACAGAAACAGATGGGGATACCAGATAAGGGAGTAATCTCCAAAATATATAAAGAACTCACACAACTTAGTAACAACAACAACAAAAACAATCCGATTAAAACACGGCCAGAAGTAAATAGACATTTTTTCCAAAGAAGACATCCAGATGGTCAAGAGACAGTGAAAAGACGCTCCACATCACTCATCGTCAGGGAAATGGAAATTGAAACACAATGATATGTCACCTCATCCCGTCAGAATGACTATCATCAAAAAGGTAAGAAATAACAATGCTGGTGAGGATGTGGTGAAAAACCAAAACCAAAACCAAACCCTTGTTCACTGTTGTGGGAATGTAAATTGGTCCAACCACTATGGAAAACACTATGGAGATTCCTCAAAAAATTTAAAAGAGAACTATGAAATGATCCAACAATTCCACTTCTGGGAATATATACCCAAATGAAACGAAAACAGGATTTCAACGAGATCTCTGCACACCCATGCTTATCAAAGCATTATTCACGTCAGCCAAGTTATGGAAACAACCCAAATGCCCATCAACTGGTGAATGGATATAAAGATGTAGTACCGGGGTACCTCGCTGCCTCAGTCCCCGGAGCATGTGACTCTTGAGCTCAGGGTTGTGGGTTCGAGTTCCACGTTGGGTGTAGAGATTGCTTGCAAATACTCTTAAAAAAAAAAAAAGTAATACATACACACAATGTAATGTTAAAGGAGGATATCCTGCCGTTTACAACAACACGGATGGACCCTGAGCACATTATGCTAAGGGAGGTAAGCCAGACAGAAAGACAGGTACCGTATGCTACCATTTATAGGTGGAATCTAAAGAAGTCAAACTTACAAAACAACAGAGCGTAAATGGGGATTAGCAGGAGACGCAGGGATTAGACTAACGTTTTTCAGGGAACAAAACTGTAACGAGTAGTAAATAAACCATGGACCGCATAATGAATATAGACCATAACATTCTACTGTAATTATACAAGGGGATAAATGTCGCTACAACGATGTTACAACACAGAAATGTATCAAAATCACAGCTGTACGCCATAACCTTACACAATGTTACACGTCAAATTTATTCAAGAAGCATCAAAACGTCTGGCACGCCCTCCTTGAAGACTTCGAAGTATTAAATGGGTTACACTAAGGGAAAGCTCTGGAGAGGAAAAGACCCCCTTGCGTATTCGGGGCGCTCCCTGAGATGCCACACCCAAAGCGCCTGAAATCCAGGAAGCCCCCCTTCCTCTGCGAGGCGGAGGCGGGGGGCCAGCGCAGGCGGGTCCTCGGGGCGCCCCGGCCCTCGAGCCCGCGTCTACGGGGCGCACCCCAGGGCGCGGGGAGCGCTCCGCAGGGCCGCCTCAGGAGCGTCCTCCGGGGAACGCCCTCTCACGTGGCGACGCGGGAGCTCGGGGCCGGTCCTCACCTGTTGGGGACTCCGCCCCGCCTCACCAGACGCGACAGGCTGGGCTCCCACCGCCCGGGACGCCGCTCTCAGGCCTCTCCCGGCACAGACCCGCAGCGCGCCGGGGCGCACAGGGCGGGCACCGAAGCTTCCCGAAGGCGCACGCGGCGCGCACGCGGCGCGCACGCTGG